AAGCTACAAAAGTTGTGTTGACTACAATATACTTATATAACTACTTGCGTAGAGATCAAGATTCCTCGCAAAGGTTCACTCCCCCAGGATCATTCGATGCCGAAGATGAAGGAGTATTCATACCTGGCCGATGGCGTCAAGATACAGAAGTGTCATCAATGCTATCCATTCAAGCTATACCACGGCGAGCATCAACAGATATAAAAGAAATACGTTCACACTTAGGGAGACATTTCATTACAAATGATGCAATTTCTTGGCAGAATAGTTATCAGTAAATACTCACTTCTTCATTTAAAGTACTCGTATCTTGCGTATTTCCTGGATGGTTTCTATCTCCCAGAAAGCTAAAGGCTTCGTAGGCGTACCAATTTGAAATATATATTTCACCACGACCTTCAATAAAATAAATGTTTAAATCAGAATTATAATGTATAATTTGAAAAATGATTATAAGATATTATAACGTAATTAAAACCCATCTTACTTACGATATTATAATAAAAATGAATGTTATTTAACATAATATTAAACATAATAATAATTAATAAATACATGATCCTATGGTTCGGCTTTTTTTCTCTCTTGACTTTTCCCTCCTGCAAAATCCTAGCAAAGAGTCCATTTTCTTCTTTAAGTCTGCTATTGGAATGTTCATTTTGTGACTTATATTTCTCCGTGCATCTTCTCTTAGTTCTCTATTGGTGTAATCGGACATTGCGCATCCCAAAGTCGTCTATATTCCCCGTTTAGTTGTATTAACTTAAGACATTTAGTCAGTACGCGGCTGTAAGTTGTATTGTCATAGTGATAAACTTTGACAAATAAGAAGTAATATTTAACATCGTTTTTCTCAGTTGTTATGAATGAATATAAAGTTCTTTCTAATGCTAAAAATTCTTTAGAATCAGGTATTCGCCAATTATTTCAGGTATGTAGCGATTTGACTCATCAAAGTCGATAGAGGTAGGTATTACGACGTGCTTTGAGTTTGTTTTTTGAATATTTTCATTATGTTCTCTGGTACCGTCAAAGTTTTTAACAAACTTTAATAAAATGTTCAAATCGATTTTCTCTTCACTCTCTGATTTTTGACCTCTCTTCCTAGTCTCTTCCTTTATAGTCATCGTAATAGTTTATCGTGAATTTATTCGATACCGAATTCAGGTGAGCGGATTAGGATAAGAGTTCTCGGAACTGGACAATTGTAGCGATAGCGTGAGGTGTTTGTGGATTATTTGAAAGTTTATTTCACTTTTAGTTTTATGATTTATTTGAATATACACCACCGATGGAATGTGCACATGAATTAACTTACATGTATAAGATGTTCACGAACATGTTATTTTCACTTTTCACTTAATTTGCACTTGCGTTAAATGAGAGATTGCGGCAGAATTCACAACGGCGAATACAGCCGAAATTAGTCTTTGAATTTACAACTTTTGTACACAGTTCACACACGAAGGCGTTTCCCGGATTTTCTTTACTTAAAATCCCTTAAGCTGCCACCAAATCTTAGTAGTGAGAAGGCCGATCTCTTTTTAAAAAAGGATTTATTCGACACTACGCATTATTTATAATGAATAACTAATTATAATAAAAGAATTTGGAGATACTGAGGAAAATTGTTAAACGTCTCACTTCAATGAATATCTGACCCGAACTGAGACTATCTGACCCGAACTGAGACTGATATGTTCTCATGAAATCACTGTGAGAGAGCTTATGATGAGTAAGGTAAGCATTAGTCAATACAGGCTAGGGATATAACAGCACCAAGTACTTATCTAAGGTTGATGGACTCAGTAAAGCGAGGACTAAATAACGTTTTGACGTATCTCGATGACGTCATTATATGTATATACGACATCATTACAAGAACGAACGAACGAAGATAAAATATGTGCTGTAAAGAAATTTCCACTACCTAAAACCCAGAAAGAAATAAAATCATTCTTTGATTTAATAGTTTACTACAGAAAGTTGATTCAAGATTTTGCAAAACTCACAAAATACTTGAAGAAAAACAGCAGACTAGTGTTGACAGATGGATACATATAAGCCTTCGAAAAATGTAAACAGGTATTAATTAATGCACCTATCTTCGTGTGTCACCAATATCCAGATTTCGAAAAACCCTTTATCCTTACAACGGACGCCTCCGACGTAGCAACAGACGCAGTATTGTCTCAAGGACAAACAATACGCACAGAACAAAGATATTCTACAATAGAAAAAGAACTACTAAGCATAATGTGGGCCATAAAATACTTCCGTCCTTATCTGTACGGGAAAAGTTCACCATATATACAGATCACCGTCCACTCACGGATAATGTCCATAAAGGACCCGAACTCAAAACAAACACGATGGCGACTAATGCCCGTATCTTTAGACGTTTCGTAAAATAGTTCAAGTTGGGTATTTTTAGTCGACCATTACAATATTCCTCAACTGTCCTCGAGTGAGGTAGAAAGGTGCTATTGCGTCACCACGACAACATCAGTTTGAGGAAAATTTGATCAAGCTAGCATCAAACCTATAGAGTTCTGTAGTTTATGGTCATTGTTTAATGTCAAAGTCAAGCTACCACTGTCTGTTTGACACTAGACGCACCGAACTTGTTTGATGTTTTAGTTGAGAGACTCATAAATACGTGCTGTTATATCCTTCCCGTTGCACTCCTTCTTGCTAACTATGCACTCTGTCCCGCTACCTCAACACTCTTCATAATACACCTATATCGGGCTCACGTCAGTGAGTCAGTCTCCTTCATCTCCTCATCCAAGACGGTCGTCCAAAATCATACAAAGTATTTTTTTTAAAAAGCTAAATATCCTGTGGCTCATAACATTTTGGTGGCAGCGTAAAGGGATTTTGAAAAGTCCCTGGTACGTCTCAATATCCAGTGAACTCTAAAATTCAGTGAATCATAGAATTAATACTTGTGATCGTGAACTCCACCGTTTTTACTAATAATTTGTGCATTTGTGTTGTGCTCGTCGATCGCTGAAAGCCCACTGCTGCGCATTCTACTTGAATGCTGTAGCCGGCATCACAGTATCATACCCACTGTCACGGATAACTGCTCCTGCGTGCCGCGACCGGTATCCGACGAAATACAGAAACGCAACTCACGGATCGCCTCATCGCCGAGTTCCGAGAATGAACGCCCTTATCGTGCTGTCTGCATTCCTGTGAGCTCTTTATCAATTTATTAAATTGTTTTGGTCATTGCTATATTAGACACCAGTTCAAACTTTTGTATTCTATTTTCGTTTAGTAACCGTGTTCACTAGTTAATTTTATAAGAATTTGTAATTGTATCGTATAAGAAAATGGCGGAAAGGTCTCAGAGTCCAAAATACGAAAAAACCGATTTCGCGGTAACAGACACCGAGGAGGAGGGCCAAGGCCATCTTCTTCCCCCACAAACGCGGTCTGTCGCGAAAAAGAGGGCTGTGATGATTCAAAAGCCCGAAATCGATCTCTCAACTTTGCTGAAATTTATAAAACCATACAATGGCTGTAGAGAAACGCTAAACTCATTTCTTGTGAACTGTAACAACGCTTACGAGCTAGCGTCCGACGTACAAAAAGATATACTCTTTAAGTACATACTTTGCCAATTACAGGA